GGCCCGTTGGCGGCTCCCCCGGGGCGGGCAGCTCCCCCAGCCAGCGCCTGGGCATTGGGCTGTGTCCCAGCGCAGATGGGCACAGCCGGCCTCCCGCATTAGTTCTACCAAGCCTCCCCTGCCCTGGGTCCTGCCCCGTCTGGTTCTTGCTCCAGAGATGCCACTGCCTCCTTCCCCTGTGCCAACACCCATGTGAGCCCCAGCACAGGATTATATCTCCAGCCCCTGCCTGCCCTTCCCTGCCCTGCTGCTGGGTGGTGCCACCAGACCCCCGCTTCCCTAAGCCCTTGCTTTTCCCTGCTTGGCTCGCAGGTATCTCCAGGAGTACGCGGCGCTGGGCACGGGTGGTGGCATCTATCACTTCCGAGACCAGATCCTGTCGGGTGGTGCTGAGGCCTTCTTTGTCCTCAACGCAGACGTGTGCTCAGAGTTCCCCTTGCAGGAGATGCTGGAGTTCCGGCAGCAGCACGGGGATGCGCACAGCTTTGTCATTCTGGGTACCACAGTGAGTGGCAGTGCTGGGGAGCAGAGGAGCAGTGGTACTCTGCCGTGGGCTCACCTAGAAGCCAGTGGCTCCTGCAGTGGATGGGTCCCTGGGTGCGAGCTCTGGGCTTCATCTGCTCTGCATCTGCGTGCCCGCTGCTCCACCATTGCTAACACATCCTTGCTCTGCAGGCCAACAGGACGCAGGCGCTGAATTACGGCTGCATCGTGGCGAATGCGGACACTCAGGAGGTACTGCAGGGCCTCGGGGAGCCAGGCATGGTATTCCCAGTGTGCCACAGAGGGTGTGAAACTGGCCACAGGGGCTGCGCCCCAGGACTTGCATCTCTTCCCTCACCTCCAGGTCCAGCACTACGTGGAGAAGCCCAGCACGTTTGTCAGTGAGATCATCAACTGTGGCATCTACCTGTTCACACCTGCCATCTTCCAGCACATCGGTGAGGTCTTCCAGAGGAACCAGCAGGAGCTAGTGCTGTGAGTGCCTCTCTCTGCCCCGTGTCCCTCCCACCCCACTGTTTCCCGGGGCTGCAGTGGCACGCTCATCCTCCATTCTTTCTCTGTCTTCTCTCCTCCTCTGCCATCACTCACTTGTTTCCTGGTCCCACACCAGCTGTCCTTACCTTGGGTAAGTCTCCCTCTGTGTCTGCACTTGGCTGCTCTCGGGGCTGGATCATCCCTAGCGGTAACGCATGCTTTGCTTCCTGCTCTGCAAGGCTGCTCTTTCCTCCGCTCCCCTACTGGCCAGCTTGAGACTCCCCCTCTCCCTTCCTCTCCTCCCACCCCATCTCCATTGAGCTCTGGACAAGGGGCTGTGCAAGCCTTTCACCTGGGCATGCTCTGCTCCCACCTCCAGCTCTCTGCACCAGTAGCCTGTCACCTGGCATCTCCGCCACCACCCAAGCAAAAATCCATCTGTGCAGGGCTCTGGAGCAGGGAAAGGATCCATCACTCATACACCCACCTGGACGGGGTGGGGCTCTTGCACCATCAACTTCTGGCTAAGAGCTTGTTTCAGCTGACTCCCTCTGCCGCTCTGGGGCTCAGAGGGGCTGGGCAGGCCTAGCCTGATGGCTGGGGCTGTCCCTACCTTTGGGGTGCAGTGCATGGCTAGGAAGGAGTCCAGGATCACCAGAGCCCCCAGATTTTGGGAGGGTAGCTGCTGGGGTCCCTGACTGAGGCCATAACTGGGGTGGGTGCCTAATGGGCCTCTCGCTTGCAGAGAGGAGAGCTCCAATGGCTGGCAGCGTGCAGAAGTGATCCGGCTAGAGCAGGACGTTTTCACGGCGCTGGCTGGGAGTGGCAAACTCTATGTCTACAAAACCGATGGCTTCTGGAGCCAGATCAAATCGGCAGGGTAAGGGCTGGGGCCAGAGCTGGCACAGCAGACGCAGCGAGCTGTCCATGCCAGAGCTGGGAGAGGAAGGTGCCCAGGCATAGCCCTGGGGCTGGGTGGGGGGAGCTGAATTCAGACCTTCCTCTGGTAGTGCTGGACAGGTAATAACAATTGTTTGCTTTTCTTCCCCTAGCTCTGCTATCTATGCCAGCCGCCTTTACCTGAACCAGTACAGCAAAAGCCACCCTGAGAGGCTGGCCCAGAACAAACCTGGCGGTCCTGTCATCCGAGGTACCTCTCTGACAGCCCCACTGCCTTGGGGGCTGCCCTGTGTGGGGACAGGGCTGCCTTGGGAGGAACTGGGACCCGTGGGCAGAACCTCTCCTGATCAGAGAGGCAGGTGCTCCTACAAGCTGCCTCTCCCAACGCAGCTGCCTTGTGTTGCAGGGAACGTGTACATCCACCCGACAGCCTCCATCGACAGCACCGCAGTGGTGAGTGCAGGCCTGGGGGACCCTGCACCAGGGCGATGCTCTGGGGTGCTGAGGGTGCCGTTGTCCTTGACCTTGTCTGCCTCCCTCTGTCCTCATAGCTGGGCCCCAACGTCTCCATTGGGGAGGGGGTGACGGTGGGAGCTGGTGTGCGCGTGCGAGAGTCCATTGTCCTGCACGGTGCCTCACTCCATGTAAGTAGGGTTTGCCTGAGGGTGAAGGTGTCCACACCCATGCTTTGCAGGGAGGCAGCAGCACCCTTCACCCCCCTTTCCTTCTCCCCAGGACCACACCTGTGTCCTTAATACCATCGTGGGCTGGGACAGCACCATCGGGCGCTGGGCCCGGGTTGAAGGAACACCCAGTGACCCCAACCCCAACGATCCCTATGCCAAGATTGACAGTGAGACCCTCTTCCGGGACGGGCGCCTCACGCCATCCATCACAATCCTGGGTATGTCCTACCTGCACCCAAGCTGCCTCAGCCCCACGCTAACCCCTACCTACCCCATGCTAACCCTGCTGACCCACTCGCACTCCCCCCAGGCTGCAGCGTCACTATCCCCGCTGAGGTGGTTATTCTCAACTCCATCGTCCTCCCTCACAAGGAACTGAGCCGCAGCTACAAGAACCAGATTATCCTGTGAGTCAGCTGCTCGCTGGCTCGGGGGGGCAGTGCCAGCTCCCCACTCCCTGCTGTGCCCCACAGCAAGAGCCTGTGCCAGGGCTTTACCTCCTGGACGGTTCCCAGCACCCCCAGAGGGGTCGGTGCAGGCCAGGAGTCCTGCAAGTGCCTGACTCCTACTGCAGACAGACATTAAAGCTGGTGAGCATCAGCCGTGCGTGCTGCTTCTCTTGCAGCCCAGGGACCAGCCCTGGGGCAGGGTGAAGGCTTTGGGGACAGCACGCGGCCCTGGCACCAGGCTGCGTGCCTGTGCAGAGCGCCCTGGGCTGAGGCTGTTGAGGGAGCACTTGCTGCCTACAGCGTCTCAGGTCCTGAGTTTCAGGTGTTTCTCCACCAAGCGGCACTACCAGCACAGTCTTGCCACCCCTCACTGGGCTCTCCCTGCTCTGCAAAAGTTGCTGTCTGCAACTCCCTGGAAAGCCTTGGCCTGTCTCAGAGGCTGGGGAGCTTTGAATGTGTGCGTTCTGCATATGCAGGAGGCAGTTGTGAGGATCCTTATTTCAGCAACGTGATTGCAACTCCCTGAGCTGGGCTCCTGCCTACTGCTGGGAAAACAGCAGCACCAGGCCAGCCTAGGGGCACTGGCACATGGGGGCTGGGTTGGACAGGCAGGCTGCTGGCCCTGGAGGGAGCTGCGAAAGCAATCCTTCCCCCAGCACCACCTCTGCCCGCAAGGGCCCGGTGGGAGCCAGGAGAGCTGCCAGCCCTGCCGAGCTGGCTCGCAGGCCCCTGCCACCCTGGTGGGCCAACAGCCTCCTCTGCACCAGCACGGCTGTAGCATGGGGGGCTCACTGCACGTCTCCCCTCACACCAGCCACATCTACAGGGCACTAGAGCAATCCACTTACACGTGTGCAGGTGGTAGAGATCTGCCACCTCACTGCCTCAAAAAACCCTTATTTTTTTGGTACGCTCTGTCAATGGTAACCAACACTGCCCTTCATCCACTTACCTCCCCCTTCTTCCCTTCTGCTTTTGGAGCTCTGTGCTAAAGCCCCACACTCCACAGAGGGCCCCATCACGCCTCGCCTTCAGCGAGGCACTGCATTAGGGATTCTCCATCCCTCCAGTACCACCCCAGTTCAATGGATTTGCAGTAAATCCTTGCTCCCAGCCCTGTGCCTTCCTGTGCCAGTTCTCCTGTGGTCCTGGGCGGGGATTAGCCGTTCCCTGGCTTTAAGCACATTAAATTCCTTCAGTTTTGCCTCTGCCTTGGATGTGCTAATTTCCGTGCCCGTTGGTGAACACCCCTGCGCTGGGAGAAACTGAGCCAAAGTACTTGCTTTCAGGATTGTACATGAATTTTCTCCTGTGTCCCACACTTGGCCTGGGTTTTAGTACAGAGAAAGGTTTCTCAGCTGCTGGACATGGCCCTGGGGCAGCTCTCAGCCCTGTTGGGTATGGCCCCTTTTCCCTAAGCTCCCCTTGTAGCGGCTGTCCCTTGTGCAGAGTTTTCTGGGGGACAAGCCCTCCCTGGGCCCTTGCTCCATTACAGCCTCAGCCAGCTTCCCCCTCTTGGGGCAGGGAGCGAGCTGTGCATCCCAGCCCTGCTTGGGCTCTGCAGCTCCAGCGCCGGGGCTAGAGGGGAGGAAGGAGTTAAAGGGGCCTCCGCCGAGGTGCCAGGAAGTCTGGAAACGCTTTAAGGTTGTCCTGCCCTGAGCAGCAGCAGCTCTGATTACTTGAGGCCAACATCTGGGCCGAAAGAGGGGCCTCCCGCATCCTGGGCTCCAGGGCAGGGAGAGGAGGGCTTCAGCTAGGGCAGGAGGGGGCTCTGCCTGCCCTCCCCAGCAAAACCAGGGGGTTTGGGGAACACTGCTCACCCTTGCTGGCGGTAGAGCTCTGGTCTGCTACCCAGCCAGGCTCTGTCATGCCAGTGAGCCCCAAACCCTGGCAGCTAGCAGCAGTAGGGAGGGACAGAGAGCAGCCACAGCCAGGCTTGTTTTGCTGCAAACATTTAATACAAACCAGGCCCTAAGTACAGCGCTGGGGCAGCGTCCCCGCCACCGCAGCTGGGCAGAGCCAGCCCAGCTCCCCAATCCCCAGGGACGCGGAGCGGGGCTTGGAGCTCGGCACCACCAGCCCACAGGCAGTTGCCTGGTCCCGCAGGCTTCGTTCCTCCTCCTCTGGTGCCAGCTCCATGCCCCCAGGGAGCCACCACCGCAGGCTACACGGGAGAAGGGAAGAACCGACCCACCTTCTTTGGGGCCAGCCCCTGCCTGCGTGGGGAGAGATGAGTCAGGGGGTGCAAAGTGAGCTCCCCTGGGCCCCCTGCCCACCCCCAGCAGCACTCACGGGGGCCGGGCGGCCGTGCCCACGCAGCTCCGCAGGGTGCTGGGGAGGCAGCAGGTGCCGGCTGGGCTCAGCTGGCCCGGCTTAGGCTCCGGGGAGGTGACGGGGCAGAAGAACGGCTCTGCAGGACAGAGCGGGGGGCAGTTATCACACCCCAGCCCAGCTGCGGGCACCCAGCACCCTTCAGCAGCCACGGGGCAAGGGCAGGGAGGGGACCGGGGCTCTTGTGCCTCACCGCATTTGCCCCCCGGGGCTGGTGTCGGCACCAGGTTCTCCTGCTCTGTCCCCACAAAGCCTCTCCAGAAGTCAGGTGGCAGCGAGAGGAGCCGAGCCACCACCTGGGCAGGGAGGGATGGAGGATGAGGGTGTGGGCAGCGCCCGGGGTACGCCCCACACCCGGGGGACCCCTCACCTTGCACTGCCGCGGCGTGTCCTCCATGATGGCGAGCGGTGTGGGGTTGGCCGAGCCGTGTCCCACCAGCGTGGGACCAAATATGCGGGACAGGTTGAGGACATCCATCTTGCAGTCGGGGCTGCGTGACACCCTGCGAGGGGGGAGGATGGACTGTGTGAGCACACTGCCCAGCCAAGGGGCCCCTCATCCCCATCCCGGCTTCCCCACTCAGGGGCACGGAGCCTGGGCGGGGGGCAGAGAGCCAGGAGATGGGGACAGGCCCATGGGAGACCGTGCCAGGATGAGCCCCTCACCTGAGCAGGTGCAGCATGAGGAAGGCCAGGGTGTCCCTGTTGGCCGGGGGCAGCTTGCTCACCACATGGCGCAGGGCTGTGGCGCAGGCGGCATCGTCCGGGATGTCTGCAGCAGCACCGGGGAGGGGCGTTAGGGGAGGAGAAGCCCCTTCCCACCCCACCCCGGGTTCGGGACCCCCGCTCACCGGCAGCCCGCAGGAAAGCAGGGTGGAGGCTGAAGGTGACCAGCGGCTCCTTGAGCCCCCGCAGAAAGTCCTTGAGCACTCCGCACACCACATGGATGTCGGCCACACTGCCGAGGGCGGGCA